TAAAAATAATAATTGATAAATTGTACTTCAATTATACATATCTATCTTAATCAGAAAATCATCATGATTCTTTCATATAGTGCTTCGTTATCCTAAATAAACTATAATAATAATAAATAGTGAATTTATAACAAGCACATTAATATTAATAATAAACTTGTTAATTCCAAATCTTTTCCCATTGCATATTTCACGCTTTTTCTCTTATAAATTCCTTTAGTAACATTTACAATCTTATCAGTTTATTCAACTTTAGACTTTTTAGTGAAGATATTCCATTTATTTCTCACTCGTAATGTCTGCATTTTCATTCCAGATAGTCTTTCCTTTTTAAATAAGAATAACAATGAAATATAAATTAACCAGAAAATAAAATTAAAGTCTGCACATTCTTTTCGTATTTTGTTGATAATTCAATTCTACATCAACAAGCTAATGAGTGAATTGAGTATTTCATAAAGGTTTTGAGTAATATCACTAAATTTAAAGTCATTAATATCACTTGCCACCACAAATTTATTGCTAAATGTGGTGGTAATATAAACAAATAAATATATATATTGTAATTATTACACTCCATTAAACAATCCTACTGATTCCATATAATTGCAAATAAATAATAATAATTTATAATGAATATTCTTACTAGAATATACCATTTATCGTTTCATAGTTTCGTCAAGTTGATTTATTATTATCTTACTCCATGTTTTTTTAGTCACGCCAGCTAAACTAGTTATTATGATTTCATGCAACCTCGATACAAATTGACTAGATATAAGGTTTTAGATCCTGATCCCTACATGACATACAAACTTCTTTCAACTATTAGTAGCCATCATTAATTATCTGATAACGCGTAATACAATAATTACTGTAATCAAGTCATGTGAATTCCACGTGAGATTATACTAACTATACTACTATGAAAAATTAGGCAAAATTCATCCACTCTCATTCATTCACTCACCATTCATCCGTTCATCCATTCATCCACGCATTCATTCATCCATTATTAACTGGTAAGTTTGTTACATATTAATAAAATATTATTATTGATACAATCCTTTTAGTTGTGTGATTGGAAAAATATCTGATTGGTTAGATTTTTAAATTATTTAATAAATAAGCAAATCAATCTGTAATTTCTGTATCGCAGCTATCACGTTAAGTTGCATGAATAAAAATTTTTTGTGGGGTTTTGGGGATTTTTTTTATTTTTTTTACAAACAATATTAGGGAAAAAAGCGTGGATAATTGATGAATAACGAAAAGATCAAAATAAATAATTAATTTTTGTTAATTTTATTTATCTATCTGATAACACTGTTTATTTATTTATAAATTAAATATATACTTCTTATTTTCCCATTTTAAGAATAAACATACGTATATACATTAAATATTATTCATTTTTTTTTTATAATTCAACTTCTAATAATTAATTATTAAACAAAACATGCCATTTGGACTATATTACGATGTTGTAGTTACGTTAGCACGTTGGAGTATTTATGGTTTTTATAGAGAAGGCAGAAGTTGAATCAGCTTATAAAGCAATGGTTGATCAAATTGATAACTTTAAACAAAAAACTATTCATACCTTACGAAGCAGCATCATTTTTTATCACAATCATCTAACATTGTCTTCTTCTGATTATCGAGTTTAATGTTGTGGATTTGGATTTGGAATGATATCATCATCATTGTTAATATTAAAATTACTACTACTACTATTATTATTATTACTATTGGAAATGGGTAATAATGGAGGTGGTAATGCTGGTGGTATTTGTATTTGTCTTTGTGAATTGTTATTATTAAAGAAATCTAAAGACAAATCCTTCCATTTAGTTAGGCCTTCTTTTAATTGTTCTGGTATTAAATTAACTTGATTTTATTTATTTTATAAAAGAAATTTATTTTTTATTTATTATTTTTTTTTTAAAAAAAATTTTTTTTATAAAAATCAATTTACTTACAATCATCATTATCATCATTTGAAGGTGGTTGATGTTTAAGTGGAACTGCAATTGCTATTATACATTTAATAATAATAATGAAGATGATAATAATAATAATAAATTATCATAATTTTGTATACAATCATGATTATTATAGATTATTGAATATATTACCATCATCAGGTAATTTTTCATAACCCCATTTATCAGTGAAATCTAAATGACTAGTATCTCTAATGTGTGCATGATTAAAACGACCATCCTTTATGAGAAGAAAACATCATTATAATTATTATCAGAATTCAATAAATTTAATTTCAATTTCAAATAACATTTTAAATAATAAATTTACCATGTTTGAATGTTTAATTTTATCAATTTTATCAATTTTATCAATTTTATCCAATCAAGTTTACAATTAAATATGTAGATCAAAAATTATAAATTACACATGCGTATATATATGTGCGTGTAACCTCCATAAAAACATACTATTAATAAGCGAGCTCTGACCATTTTTAATCTTTCCAGTGCAGTTTTTGGATGTGAATTGCTTTGATCTTTACCATTATCTTGATCACTATTATCAACATTTAGTACTTCATCTCTTGCTTCTTTGATTAGTTTTTTTAGAAATCTAGATATTCCATAAACATCATCTGTATACCTTGTTTATTTTAAATGTCTTCAGGTTCTAAAAATCCTTCAGCATCCTTATAATTATAACTATAGTTACTTGCATTAGAATTAGCATTGATCTTAGTGATTTCTTTTCCTCTCCTTCTGCAGTATTATTATAAATTTCGCTTGTGTAGTAATTTGAATTTAAAATTTCAATAATTTCTCTTCCGTCGTTTTATCTTTCTTGAAATTGTCCATCATTAATAAAATATTCTTCTTGGTTATGAATATGGTGATGCAAGGGTATGAATAAGTTGGATATTGAATTGATCTACTTGTATTCTCATAATCGTAATCATCATACTCAATTCATAATTATCAAAGTTTTTCTTCGCCTTTTCTTTATCACGACTTGATTGTTGAAATATGAAAACTAGGATTTTTTTATTTTTTTATATATAATTTTTATAATTGAACGAAAATCTAATGTCTCAAGGAGAACTGGATTAATAATTGATAATTTAGATATACCAGATCAAATTAAAAACTCTTTGAAGAAACCAATTTTGAGTCAACAAACAGCCCCCAAAGCATACTTTTATCACATCATGCATAACTTTGGGGGCTTTTAGTTTTAGATCACTCCAGTACCTCTTGTGATCCTCCTTTTTTTCTCTTATTATTGACACAAAATTTGTAATGTCACGTGCTAACTTTGGTGATGAATGAATTGTGTGTGTTTTTGAAGTCCAAACGGCTCCAATGATATGATTATTAATTGATGTTTGTTTTAGGTTTGTAATTATTCCCGGGGAAGCATCTGGATAGTTCTTATATAAATATTTTACTATCAAAAGTTCTAAAATACTATCTCCGAGAAATCCAAGATGCTTATAACATTGAGTTAAAGATTGGATGAGACATGTATGAGTGCTTCAGCAATCAAAGCCTTATTGTTAAAGCGTAACCATCAATCTTCTCAATATCTACATTTTTGAGATGCACATGGCTTATTCAATTGATGAAATGTTCACATTCAGTAATATTTCCAGTGCCCTAGCACATTTGAATCCTCAATTACATCAGCAGGCATCTTATCTGTCAAATTTTTCGTTTTTTTAGCATTCATTTCATCATCATCTTGGATATCTCTTGTCAGCGTCTATATTTATTTTCCCATTGATCCTGAAATTAAAAAACTTATTTGAATATCGACACACGTGTTTTTTTGTTCAACATTGGATTGTTTTTATCAAGGTTTTCTGGAAGTTTGCATTTGCCGGGCTATTCCCACCGCGAAATTCAATGTTTAAGCCAGATTTTTGTACGCCAGGAAGTTCTCATGAACAACGAATTCTTTGTACAATAAACTATTATTTTGATGATTTTGTTTTTTTTTTATTCTTTCTATTATCCTATTTATTACCATCGACATTAGAAAGTCAAGTTCTATCAGTTGTAATTATTTTTCGAGTACCACGAATCATATCATCGTAAACACTTTTATATATTTTATTGTTGGTTTAAAATAAAAAGGAAAATGTCTTCAAGATATTTTTAATTATATAATTTATAATTTTGTGTAATAATATTTTAAATATATACAATTTAATTTTATTTACAAGGAAAAAAATTTTCAAATTATACGCTTTTTTATAATGTATTTTGTTCTTTAACAACCAAACAAACAACTTCAAAAGAAAAAAGAAAATAATGGAATTTCGATATACAATTATATATATATATATTTATTTAATAAAAGGTTTTAAATCCATAATATACCATTTATATATTTTTGACTTTTTATCATTATCACTATATTAACACCATTTTTTGTTTAGTAAGAAAAAAAATATTTATAAAATCTATCGTATAAATGTAAATGTAAATATAAATATAAATATATAAATATATATATATCAATCAATAGTAGAAGAATTTTATTGTCGTCATCATCATTGTCAACAACAACAACAACAACAACAACAACAAAATATATTATTTCTTTTCTGACATTGTAGATGAATATTGTTGAACTTTTGTATTGTTGCCATTATTGTTCGGACTAGATGTTGTGTTTGTTGTAGCAGTCGCAGAAGTGTTAGCAGCTTGATTCCAATAATTGTTAGCACCGGTAGGAGAACCCATGTATGTTGAGTTTTGAGCGTACTGGTTCATATGTTGTTGAGCGTATTGTGGATATTGAGAAGACATGTATGAAGCTGCTGTTGTCGGAATACCACCACCTGTATTCATTGCCATATTATTTGGAATACCTCCATATTGATTAGTAACGTAAGGATTTAAACCAATGGCATAAGGTTGAGCTGACGACATTTGATTGTTGTTATTGTTGGTTTGCTTTTATTTATTATTTATTATTAATAGTTATATAATAAATATTATATATTTATGTATATAGTATTATAAATAGTATTTAATTAAAAATAATTAATATATATATTTTTTATTTGATATAATTTTTTTCTTTCCATTCATTATATTTATATACAATATAGATCAAATCAGATTAGATAAATCTCATCACCATCTTTTAGATTAATACCTTACGATCAACAGAATCATAAACAGAATCATTATTGTTTCCATCTACTGTCGGTGCATTATCGTTACTATAAGTAGGTGGATTCTGAGATACACGAGACTATGACGACGGCGATTATTAAGACGATGTTAGGATAGAGAAAAAAAAATATAATTGAGTTAAAAAAATTATTTTAAAAAATCCCAATTTATTATTTCTTTAATTGATACACTTACAGGAGTAGAAGGTTCTTGAGGTGGGTCAGGCGCATTTAAACATGCTTGAATCAAATTCTTGCCTTCAGGTTTTGTGACAAGTGGTTGAAGTTTAGGTGTAGTGAAGGTGTATACAAGACCAGTTTCTGATACTACGAGTAAAAGTACTTGTGTTCCGGTTAAAGTACTAAGTTCGTATGCCTGTAAATTAGAAGAAAATTTTTTTACTAAATTATATTAATTATTATTAAACTGCTTTCTTTCTTTTTCACTATGAATTAAATGATGATTCAAGGCTAGAAGAAATAGCGAATGAATTAAATAAATGATGAACTTTATAAATTTCTAAAATATAAAGATATACACGTAATGTCCTTTTACGATTTTTGTTTAGGGCATACTTCACCAAAGATGGTAATAAACATAATAGGGGCTAAATAAAATTTTAATTATTACTAACTACTACATAAGTCTAAAAACAAACAAATAAATTTTTTTTCCGAAAAAAAAAAAAAAGATTTGGAGGAAGAGAAAAAAGAAGGTTCTATTTTTTTCTTTCTATCGTTAAAGATAAAAAAAATTTTTTTTACCTTCTTCATTATTCCAGCTTTCCTTTTACTAAATGTAATGTGACGTCTACTTTTATCTTCAATATATTCAATCTTTATTTTACGTCTGCCAGCTCTTTTTTCACTTTTACCTTCATCACCAGTTTCTTCTTCATCCAAGTCATCCTCTGGTTCACGTTTATTACCTCTTCTGGGAGTATTTTGTTCAGATAAGTCAGTTGTAGAAAGAGTAGAGACATTACTGAGTCTTCTTTGGTCAATTTGATTAACAGGAACAGGACTATTATTTAGATTGCTCATGTCTCTTTTTATTGCCTTTTGTTGTTGCTGTGTATATATTTGTATATATATATATGTGGCGTGCTATCAAAAGTTCAAAAAGATTTTTTTTTGGTTTGGTTTTGAACAGTAGCTTTTTTTGTAGTTTGTATTGTCTATATGCGTTTTGTGGAGCTGTTTGTGGTATGAGTTCAAAAGTAAAAAGGAAATTCGATTGATTCCAGTGAGAGAATATGAAAAAAAAGGGGATGAGTTGTGTGGCGTGCATAATAAATAATAAAATAAATCGTGATTGGTCACAAATCACAAACCTATTTTTTTTTTTTAATATTTCTTTATTAGGAATTTTGATTTTGTGGGATAAAAATGATTTCTTCAAAAAAATTACTGTTCATTAATTTAAAGTGAGAGAATAAATTTTTTATTGTGTCATCATTGAAATGTATAAAGTTTGTGATACAACTCTAACTTTAAATAAAAAAGATCATATGGATCGGACCTTTATTATGAAAATTATTCTATTTTTGGAAAGAAGTGAATTTCCCAAATTTATTATTATTAGATATTTCTCAGGGGAAGGTTTCTACCCTTTTCCAGGTACATCTACGGCTTTTCCAATATTTCCTGAAGGTGTTAATCCCAATTCATCAATAAGACCTGCGTACATATCATAATAACAATTTTAATATTATACATATTAGTATTGGTTTTATATATATGCAATCTACTTTATCATTGGTTAAAGTTATTATTTTTTTAAAAATTAATAATCTTTAGAACTACATAAGAAATTTCTTTACCAGACAAACAATACCTTTACCAAGTAATGCAATGAAAAATGTTATTACATTAATGCTGAAGAAGATGTTTTATGATGGATTGTATCTTAAAGGTATACAAGTGACATTGTCACCAAAAATTAGCTAAGATGATTTGTATTTTTTTTTAATTAATTTATATTAAATTTTATAATTTTTATATTACAATCAATTTGAATATATGTTAGAAAATATATATCTGTGCCCACAGGATCTTGTGGCTGCTTTCAGGGAAAATTTTAATTAATGTTTGAGTGAAGAACAAAATGTAGAATTGAAAGTAAAACTGAGAGATCTTGGGTGAATGTGTTTCTGCAAGCATAAACTTGACCTTGTAACATGATAATTTATCATCAAGAAATTGTTATTGGAAATTGGATGATGATGGAAGACAAATCAATCACAAAATAAAAGAACACACAATGCAATTTCTTTGAGATATTTCACATCTTATACCATGATCAAATATGTTTGGTAATATTGTTCATATCATTTATGAGATTTTAAAAATTAAGGCAAAAAAATTAATAATTTATTTGATAGAAAATGAATTTGTTCAATTAATAGGCCACTGATAAAAACTTCAGATTTTAGAGTATAAAAAAAGAGGAGGAAAAACAAATTGAGAACAAGGGAATGTTGGCATTTTTAACTTTATCAGGCCAAATTCATGCTAAGATGACTTGCATGTGCAATGTCAAGAGTTTCACATTTAGTCCAGTATTCTAAGCAGAATGGTCATTTAGCCAAATTTTGAATGTTGGAAGCTAAAATAGCTGGTTTGTTTAAACTTGATGAACTATTAGTGCTGTTTATGTAAACGAACAATTATATCAAAGATTAGTTATGTTAGTTAGAATGACATATATCAAAGAAATTGAAATACATAAGCACCAGATAGTATAATTGTAATTTTTCTTTAAGAAAAATTTTCTCTTTACAGTTGGCAATGAAAGAAAACAATTTGAGGATATTATCTGGATTCTGAAAAGGCTTGGAATACTCCGTGGTATATTTATAGTCAATCATTATGCTCGTGTAACATAAAATATTTTCTAAAATATTTTGTTTTATGAGCATGCTTAAAGCCAATGGCCACAAAATAGATCTTGACAATTTGGACTTCAACTGTACTTACACATTTGAAGAATTCAAATTAATTAATGAACAACTAAAGACATGCACCTTGGATATTAATGAGACCCTGCTTGATCTATTTGAGTTTAATAAAGAAAGTTCCTTCCAATTCCCCAAAATCTGATAAGTAAGGAAGCTGTTGCTGATGAGATCTTTGGTCAACTTCACAATTGGAATGTGCAAACATGCCAAAATGGAATTGTTTACTACCTCCCAAGTAAGGTTTCCAGTCCAAACTGTTTTCTCAAGTCCAAACTAGTTTGGGCAATTTGGGCTTTCAGCATTTTTTATAAACATGAATACCAATCAACTTATTTTAACTTAAACAACTTTAAAGTAATTTCGCCCAATTTCAGCTAATAACAAAAAATAGTTTGGGCTTATAAAAAAGTAATTTTTGCCCAAGTGTTTCAGCAATTTCAGCTACTAATAAAGAGAGTTTTGGCCAGAAACCTTACCACCAAGGTGGCTTTGATTTCAATATTGCTGGTCAATGTATAATTCGGACACCAGATGTTGCCTTTATGTTGAAGGATACTTATTGGTTACTTGATCATCACCAGCAATGGACCTTCAAAGGTCAGCCATTTATGCCTACCTGTGTTGTGGAAATCACAGTTGTTCAAGAAGGATATCAAGAATTCAATGATTTAGATCAGAAATTCGCTTTAAAATGGACTTGTCAGTTGAACTTGGTTGGTTAGTGGACCCACAAAATAAGCAGATATATATTTACAGATGGAAGGCTAATAGGGTTGGTTGTTCGTCAAACTTCACATGGAGTAGTGTAAATGATGGCAATGTTTTGCACTAGAAGTACAGAAAATTGATGATGCAATTTCACAGATAAGTTTTATTACTTTGTTATAAATTTTTGTTATTCATTACTTTTTGTTATAAGTTCATGTATTTCATGATTAGACATCCTCAGAATCATCATCAGAAAGTGATGAGGAATTACAAATTAATTGTCCTGAATGTGAAATAACTTTTACACTTTTATGAAACATGAGCCTTTTGTAAATTAACAAATGTATTAATTTTATGATCAAATCTCATATATATGCATATCTGAGGTAAAATTGCAACTAATAATAATATATGTGATTGCTGAATCTTTTATATGATGTTGTACGTGAAAATGAAATTATGTGAAATTCAAAATTAGCCAATCAGAATTTCACCCCACTCTATAATATTTCAATTTCACATACAACATGGATATCAATAAACAAAATAATCAAAGTACCAGACTATTGAGGAGAATCTTTAGTTAGTGTGACAACAATGACAATGATTATTTTTTAAACATTAATCAAAAAAAATTTCAACCACTATGGTTATATGTTGTGGTTGATGTTTGTATTAAATTAAATTAAAAATTAAGTGAATGATATTTTAATAACACACATGCATATATTATACATGCATATATAATTTAATTTAATCTATTACTAATACATAAGCATAATAATAAAATCTAATATATTAATTAATCTATCATCTAATAATAGTAACAACATAAATAATTTATCTTGGAATGAATGAATTGTTGTAGTTGATGCAGCCAGCTGCTTCTGTGCTGTTATTGTTAAATAATAATGTTATAATGAATTTAAATGTTTCTTTTCAATCTTCAATGGTAAGCCTTATATCACGAATTGGTTGATTTGATTCATTATCCTTTTTTGTAGTTTGCTCATTTACTAATATAATTAAAATGACCGTGAGTAAATAATTAATTAGTGAACAGGTTAATAATAAATGATGATAGATTATGTTCTAATAATATTAATTAAATAATTTACCATTTATTAATAACCCTTTGCCAAAATTTAAAAAAGCAAAAATTCCATATAACCAAGTTATAAATGATATAAGTATAGCAACAGCGACTACAAAAAAAAAAGAAAAAGAAAATATTTAATTACATTTGTATAAATTATTCATTAATATAATTCACTCATTAATTGTAAAATAATATACTTACTAAACACCATGAAAAAGTACCAACTGCTAGCTAAATGTTGTAATGTAGCCTTCAATATTAATATAAAATCAACTAGTGCAATTGTTGATAAACTAAGATAGATAACCATTCCTATCTTCCATTCTCTGATCAACTAAAAATCATATATAGATATTTGTTAATATTATATAAATTATATACAGTTACATTATATTATATTAAATACTGACTGATTGATAGCCAAGATTCACTAATATTATAATTAATAATGTTACACCCATATGGAAATAATAAAGTCTTTTTGGAATTGACAATTCCTCAGGGGCAGAACCTCCATCTCTCTCCTCACTGAATACCAAGAATACCTCAATTGCAGATATAAATACAAAGAATACAGAAAGTTTAATAAGCATCACGAAAATCAACATTGTCTTGTATAATTCTAAAGAATATAATAATAATGGTAGATGGTGAAATGTTAATATTAACAATCATATTAATGAAAACAGTTCTTATAATATTCCTCATTCATAATATTTCATACTCTGCATTTTAACATCGGCTCCTATTTTTTTATAAATATCCCAGCCAAATTCCAAATATAATTTCCAACAAATAAATGCCATTATAGAAGCAAATGCTACTAACATTGCTATCAACGGGAAATCATGTCTAGTAAATGCAGGCTCCAACAAAGGATTGTCTCTTGGACAAGCTTCCCGTAAATCTGATAACCATTTTTTAATTTCCATAAATTGAACCTAACAATAACAGTAATAAATTTAATGATTAAATCATTGAAAATAGTAATAATAGTATAATAATAACAATAATAATTACAATTCCATAAAGTGCACATAAAAAATTAATAACCGTTATTGTTATTATTTGTGTTGTATTTCCATTATATATCTATTATTAGTGGATTAGTATTATTTATAATATAAATTATCATGTCACATTAAATAATCATAACATACTTACCGCATTTATACAGAACCAAAGCTGAAATAATTGAAACATCATGAAAATAGCATTTTCTTCTCCAATAAATTCTATTCGATCAATTGAAGGTTCTAAGTTACAGCCATCTAAAGAAGGTATATCCTCCAATTTTTTTTTGAATCTAAGATTACGCAAAAGTACATTTGTCTCTAATGCAACTATCACAACAAGTTGTAGAATCGACACTATAACAAATAGTTTTGTCCATTTAGAAGATGTTATCCTATTATACTGCATATATATATATATATATATATATATATATGTTTACAAATAAATTAAATTAATTATCAAATAAAATTTTCTATTCAATTAATTATCAAATAAAATTTTCTATTCAATTAGTTATATATAAAATACTAACACTCTTGCGAAAGAAAGAGATAACTTTATAAACCATTTTGAAATAAAAATAATTTTTTCAAATAAAATAAAATACTGCTTTTATTCATTATTTATTTATTATTTGTCAAACATGGAAATGCATTATTATTGTTAATTATTTATAGAAATCGAACTTTTTTATGGAACGTGTAACGTCTATCACGGGAACAAAAACAAAGAGTAATAATATTAAATTTACAGTGTGTTACAAAAAAAAATTGGCCAGGAAAAATTCGCAATTATTCAATAACAGTCGCAGGACATTGCGGATTTACAGGGGGTCAAGTGTCACTCATATATAAAATTAATGATCTTTGTGCATAATTTTATATGTAAAATCAAAGAAAAAAATCACTCTGGTATACACAAACCTACCTGATTTAACCAAGATTGTTCCTTGAATTATAAAAAATCAAAATATATGGAAAACCCTTTATTTTGACATATTTTTTGC